ATGTTAGCGATATTCTCAGTGATATGTCCAAGAGCTTGTACATCCTCCGGTGCAGCACAGGCGTAAAGGTGTCTCCCAGCTCTGTCAGTTAATAGGGAATATATGTACTCCTCATCAGTATAGACATAATATCCACAGTCCCCAGCCTCAGCTGGCCACCACAACCCTTGCTCCATTAGTGAAAGCCATTGTTGGTACCACTCAGAATCCTCAAACAGCATTTCATCATCTGCATCCCCTGTAGTTCCTGCAAACCTGCTTAAATCTATAGCACCACATGTCAAATCCACAGGACCCTTTTTTGTGGCAAGTTGTTTTATAAATTCAGTTGCTGATTTCAAACCAAAGTCTTCATCTTTTAAATTGCGACTCATACCGTTTTTTTCCACAACCTTGCCGAATTCCTTTACACTGCAATCTGCAAGTGAATGACATCTACTTAACCGAGTCTTTGTTTTTTCCATGGAGAGATTAAGAGCACTACTTTCAACAATCCATGGTTTTCTTTGCATATCAATATTGTGTAAATGGTCACAGCTCCTCCAGGGTTTCTTGTCTCTGAAACTCATGTCAAACAAAACAAGATCTTCTTGTGGCTCAAAGAAACGATTCCTGTTTTCAAAAAGCTGGGAAGCAGCATCCCTCCAAGGATGAGAGGGTACATTGAAGTCACTTATGTCCATTTCTGTAGGATTTAAACATATGTGATTCTGCAATTGTGGTTCTCTAACAGTTGATGGTAAAATCCCTTGGCATGCTTGGGAGCGTTCATTAACTTGAGTGGCAAGGGCTTCACTAAGGATGTAATCATTGAGTTGCTGCCATAGAAGAGCTTCTATGAGACACTGATGCTCATATAGCTCTGGTGGTATAACACCATGCTCTGTAAAGTTGTATAAAAGATCCTTGTAACCATACTCATGTGCTGTCCCATACAAGAGACGTTCAATTTCCTCAAGGTAAGATTTGATTGGGGGAATTGTACTATCTTGCCAAACCTGAGATTGAAGAGTTGCATTACGAGTATCAACAACTGTAGTAGCTGTAACAGCAGGTGTTAGTGTTGCTGTTCTTGAAGGCATATCTTCCTTGCTCTTTGGTAGTAAGCAATCACTTAGTTCTTTTTCACTGTCCTTTCCAGGAGCACAAGTGATAGTGTCACTAGGGCCTGTTTTAAATATGCTGGATAACAAACCAGGAGATGTGCTACTTGTGCTGGTTTTTGGTTCCTCCTTTCCTGGTGTAGGGGTTGATGGCTGCTGTGTCGTTGAGGGTGTCTCCTCCGTGACACTGAAAAGACCTGAAAGGAAACCTTTTTGAGAAGGACCTTTAAGTTCCTGATCTATGGACAATTCTTTGGAAGAATGCATCTCTACTGTTTTAGTTCTCTGAATCTGTGGTCGTCCTTGTCCTACACATGGCTGATGTTCTTGCTGTGTTGTTTGAAGGTTCCCCTGATCAGAAGATGATGATGATGACTGTTCCACACTACCTGACATTTTGTTCATTAGGCCAGAAAATAATCCTCCTGTTTCAGATTGGGCTGGATTTTGCCCTGATTTAACAGATAGTTGACCTGCTTGAGCAGGTTGAGCCGACTGTTGGTCCTGTGGTACATTTTCACCAGCCGCAAGCTTCAGAAAACCTGAAAGCAACCCGCCACCTTGACTAGCCTGTTGTGTAGTTTTATGTTGAGGATTTGCAATGTTGCCAGGTTGTTGCTGCTGAGGTGATGTCTGACCAAACAGACCAGACAAAAATCCTCCTTGCTGACTGGATTGAGACGACTGACCTGCAGATTGAGCAGGTCCAACAGTGTTTGATGTATTTACCTGTTGAGAGCCAGTCTGTAAGGTAGGCTGTTGTGGTGCATTATCTGTTGATGCTAACTTATTAAACAGTCCTGACAATAGCCCACCTTGCTGTGGCTCTGGTGCAGGGGCAGCAGGTTGAGGGGGTATCTGGTTTTGCCTTCGAAGAGGCTGTTTTTTCCCTTGTTGGGATTGCTGCTGGTTGGGATTACCAACAGGTGGTGTCTGTTGTACTACAGGAGTAGGACCTGATGAAAATAGCCCAGAGAACAAGCCTCCCTGTTGATTTGATGGTTGTTGGGTCATCTTAGGGCCTGCTCTTTGTGTGTTTGGCTGCTCTGGTTGACTTACCACTGTTGACTGTTGGGTGCCAGCATCTGCAATTTTGTTAAATAATCCAGTAAGCATCCCTCCAGGACTACTTGGGGGCTGTTGGGGAGGGACTTGGTTTTGCTGTTGTAGGTTTTGTCTATTGCCTGGTTGCTGATTATGTTGGTTCCCTGATGAGGGGCCCTGTTGCTGGTTTTGTGAGGGCTGTCCCAGGTTTGCAGGAGCAGAGTCTTGGCCCCCCATTCCAAAAAGGCCAGAAAAGAAGCTTCCTTGTTGAGGAGGTGCTTGCTGTGTCGGTCTTTGGTTAATTTCTTGATTTACAGTATGTGACTGTAGCTGAGATGGAGTAGGATTAGGATCCACAATCTTGTTAAAAAGTCCTGACAGCATGCTACCTGATTGCTGATGTTGTTGTGTAGGTTGTGTAGTCAGAGGTGCTGTTGCTGTTTGGGAAGTGGTTTCTGTGAGTTTCAACAACCCCCCAAACAATCCACCAGGTTGAGTTGCTGTTGCTTTTGGAGGCAGTTTTTCTGTTGTTTGGTCGGACCGCTGCTGTTGGTTTGGCTGTTTTTCTGAGACTACGGACTGTTCTACTTGCTTGTCAGGTAGACCTTTGTCAGGAGGGGATGCTTCTGTTGAACCTGCTGACGGAATAAGAGGAGTGGAACCTTTACTCATGTTATGATCAGGTCCTTCTGTTTTGGCTATATGGTTAGTTGTATCTGGTTTGGACTCTTGACTAGATTGAGTTGGTTCAGACCCAGACAATGTGTCTGTGGCTTTTTTAAAGAGCCCAGATAAGAGACCTCCACTAGGTGGCAGGTCAGCAGCAGGTTGCCCTTGCCTTTGTGTTGGAATTTGGCCAGTCTGGCCTAATGGCAATGATGACAGTGACTGATTTGTAGGAGAAGAAACATTATCAGACGCAAATTTTAGAAATCCTGACAACAGTCCTCCGGATTGTTGTGTGGAAGAATTATTTTGTATTTGAGGGGAAGACTGGGAAAAAAGGCCTGAAAATAGCCCACCTTGTTGAGACTGATTATCCTCTCCCTGGGCTTTTTTGTCAGATGACACATCTTCTGCTGATCCTAGTTTCATTAATCCAGTAAGAATACCTTGAGTCTGTGAGGCTTGAGGTTGTGTTGCAGAATGTTCCAGAAGATTGGTGGGACCATGATCTTTAGATGTCATATCTGCTTCAGGCTGAACATTTGTATAGCACAGGGGATGATTTTCCGACAATGTTTGCTCTTGCAATTCTTCTGTTCTTAAGACAGTGCTCTCTGTAGTTTTAGGGATAAAGTCTTGATTATGTGTCTCAGTTTGACCAGTTGGTGCTGTTAGCACCACATTAGGAGTCATTTCTGGTTTTGCTGGTTCCTTAGCACTTTCATTTGGGGCTACTTTAAACAGGTTTGAAAACCAACCAGTTTCTGTGTTTCCTTTTGGTACACTTTCAAGAAGTGCAGCACGACTTCTTGTAGGGCTTGGGGATGGACTTTTTAGAGGGGCATTGGAATCTTCACCAGATGCAAACTTAAGAATTCCAGAAAGCATACCTCCTTCGGTTTTTGGTGGGGTTGTTGTTGAACTATTTTCAGATGAGAAAAAGGGAATTCTTAGTTTGCTACCTAAAAATGACTCATCTGGAGGATTGGAATCAGTCTGCAAGGAACTTTCAGAAGGAACTGTTGACATAAGTGTAGAGAGAGATTTCTTAAAAGGACTGAAAAATCCAGTTTCGTCTGAACTGCTTTCTAGTTTCGGTTCAGACATAGCAGAAGTTCTTCTTTGCTGAATATCAGGTAGCTCACCAGATGACTCTGTCTCTGGAAGAAGTTCTACTGATCCGCTTCCCGTTTCTTGCGAAAGCTCAATTGATTCTCTTCCTGTATCTGGCAAAATCTCTACCGATCCACTTACTGAACCTGGTCTCATCTCACTTGATAACTGTCGTTCTGTTTGTGAGCCCTCTCTATTCTGACTCATGGATCTTACTACAGAACCCTGTTGGGATTTATTGCTTGTAGCATCTGCACTTCTTTGCTCAGATGGCTCGCTAGTTGGCGTTGCACTGGCAAAAAGTCTCAAAGGACTAAGCCTCCCTAACATAGATTCAAATCCAGATGTGGATGGATTAGCAGTTGTTGCACTGCCTTGTGACTCTGTGCCAACATTTGTTTGTGCCTGACCAGTGTCAGCTTGTCGACTAGTTTCAGAGGATTGAAATGGCAAAAGAGACTGCAGGGAAATCTTCTTTTCTATTGTTGGCTCCTGAGAGGCAGGAGGAACTATGGCTACTGGGGGGGAGGTACCACCAGTCTTTGGGATAAAGGAAAGCAGCTTTGAAATGCCAGACTCACGTTGGGGTGAAGCTTGGGAGGTAGGTGGATCTGTTGTAGTTGTACCAGAGGCCTCTGTGGCTGCAGTACTAGCTTTAGGGATCAAAGAAAGCAGTTTTGAAATACCAGAGTCTGCCTGTGGTGGTTGGGGGGATTGAGTTGTGGCCGTTGCTTCCACCTCAGTGGTGGACTTTGATCCTGTGAGTGTACTGAATAATGAACTCATGGCATTCTTTACTCCAGTTATGCCCTGTTCAACAGCACTGTCCTCCTTAACATCAGGTTTGACTTCACTGCTGTTACTCTCTACCGGTTGCACACTGCTGTTACTCTCTACCGGTTGCACACTGCTGTTACTCTCTACCGGTTGCACACTGCTGTTACTCTCTACCGGTTGCACACTGCTGTTGCTCTCTACCGGTTGCACACTGCTGTTACTCTCTACCGGTTGCACACTGCTGTTGCTCTCTACCGGTTGCACACTGCTGTACTCTCTACCGGTTGCACACTGCTGTTACTCTCTACCGGTTTGCACACTGCTGTTGCTCTCTACCGGTTGCACACTGCTGTTACTCTCTACCGGTTGCACACTGCTGCTACTCTCTACCGGTTGCACACTGCTGTTACTCTCTACCGGTTGCACACTGCTGTTACTGTCTACCGGTTGCACAACTTCAGTGGTTGGCAGTGCTGGGAGTTTTCTTCTTATTGGTTTGGGCAGTGATTCAAAGCTCTTGATTTCCTCTTCTTTAACCGCCAGGTATTCAGAAACTGAGTGAACTAAGCTTTGAAGTTCATCCATTGCATCTACATATTCCTCACCTGGCTCCTCTACAGGAGACAACATAGGATCTTCTCCACCACCTATTCTCTCTTGAATCGCTTTATCGCTTGAATAGCCTTGTCCTCCAAGATGTGACATAGACATGCTAGGGTAGCAGTAACTTTCATAGTCATAACTAAAATCCCCTTGAGTGAATGTCAGGTCATCTAGTTCCTCATCAGATCCAAATGAATACTGCAGCTCATCTGAACCAACTGACCCATATTCACCATTTCCCCTGATCCTAGCAGCGTCTTCCCGAGCAGCCTCCTCCTCACGAAAAGCCGCATAGCTCTCAAGTGTGTCCTCTAGGGCAGTTTTTGCCCACAGTCTTGTTTTGTATAGTAGGCCTTCTCTGACTGTTTGTTGTCGTTGCTGTTTGACAGAGGGAATTATATCAATTTCCGGAGGGGAAGATTCATCCTCAAAGCTGCCAGCTTCCTTATAAACTAACCGAACTTCTCCACTACCAAAGCCATGCCTCTGCCTGTTTGGCCTGCCGTTCACCTCCTCCGTACCATCAGGGGATAATGCGTCACATTCCACTGTCTGATAGAACCTGCTACCTTTAGACTCACTAGCATTGTCACTGATCCGATAGATGATGCTTTTATCTTCTTCCTCCCATATTTTCTGCTCATCGTCCAAGTAATCATCCAAGACACCTGAATCAGGCACTTTATATTTATTCTCCCAGTCCTCCACACCCATACCTGAGTCCACAGGGATTATTCTTACAACACCCTTACTGTTTGATCGCCTTGATTCAAGGAAAATAGTGCCATGCAGGAAGCAGTGGAGTGTGTGTGAAAAAAAAGAAAGAAAGGAAAAGATAAAATGAGAAATTAAGTATCAGACGTGGTCGAAAAACCGAAATATCATGCAAAGAAAGTCTTAATGAAGTTTAGTAAAAAGTCAAGTGGAAAAGTAAAACACATATGGACAAAAAAAGATGTTGTTGATACTGTGCCAAATTCATGGATAAAATGTTTGTGCTGTTGTTCATGCAGATGAAAGATTCATATTTTGGTAGGCTTATTTTGGCTGCCATAGTTTTTCTCTCTGATTTTGTCAGAGATAATTTGTTTTCCCATGGCAACACTTTCAATATCATTGCTTACATGATGAAACATCTATATTGGGCAATCACTGAACTTGCAAAAGCATACTTGTTAAACTAATTAAATAATTTGACAAAACTATCCAAGGCTGTGGCTCCTATCTCTATCAATAGATTCTGCTACTCTTGTTAACTTAACCCCTCAAAGCAAAGAAAACACATGCATGATGTTGTTGTGAGTAGATGTGTGTTTACCTGGGCTGCCTCATTTCTCTATAGTCTAGCTCATAGCTTGGAATAGAGTCTGACTCCCTGGAAAGGGTGTGATGTGGGACCCTGCGTCCTATAGGGTACTGGTGCACTGATGAATTTGTCTGGGAGGTGTTGTGGAACCGTGGAGGTCTGTTGCCAGTTTCACTGCGGTAGTCACTGTCGCGGTCATCCACTGCACTGTCATGGTCATCCAAAGCTGGGAAAAGACAACATTAACAGTTGAGTAAAATACATGACATCATTTCTAAATTACATTTAAATCAGATTTATCTAAGTCCATTAGATTTCCAGATAATACTTTGCTCTTCATTCATTTATGTATTACATTTGATAGAACAAGCCTCTGGTAGATGTTAGACAGTGTATTTAATGCTCATAATACATAAAACAAGCTTCCTTTTCTTCCGTGTGTTACAGACATGTCAATGTAACCATGCCAAATTTGTAAAGTGTAACTTGACAAGTGGAAGAAATAAAAATGGTAATTCATGCCAAAGTTACATCAGTAAGGTATTTTTTGACATATTTCTGCTTAACTTGAGTATTTCAATTTAATGCTAATTTAAACTTACACTCCACTACATTTCAGAGGCAAATATCATACTTTTTACTCCTGTAAATTTGTTTTCACACATAAGTTATTTGTATATATTGGGCCATAATGGACCAATGTGCCGAATGAGTACTTTGACGGTTTGTACTTTAAGTATATTTTGATGCTAAAACCTTTGTACTTTTACATAAGTAACATTTGGAAATCAGGACTTTTACTTGTTATAGAGTATTTTAGGTCCATTCTATTTGTACTTTTACTCAAGTAAAGGATCTAAGTACTTATTCCAACACTGCTGCTAGGCCATGATGTAAGGAATTCTTCCAAATAATAATATATTTTTTAATAAAAAGCTCCCTCTTGTGGCAGCAGGCGTGTAATACAAAAAAGACCAAGCTGACAATGACATGAACAACAAGATGATAGAATATTACAACATACTCAAAATGCGACATTATATATGTGAACACAAATGACACCTACATTGATCAGAAAGGCACATGAATGTTCAATTGTAAATACAATGGCCACAAACAAAGAAAACAGACCAAACATTCAGTATGTGAAAGGAAAAGCAAAGAAGAGTCCTGATCCATGCAGAAGTACAGTAGATGACAAGTAAGAAGGGGAACAAAACATCCACTATACGTACTCTGCTGTTCATTCCATCCGAAATAACTCCAATTGCCTGAAGGCATGAAGGCAAGTGTTCAAAGAAGTGAGGAAGCAAAGTGTACTTAATTACTGTACTCAAGTATGTAACATGCAATGGGGCTGAAACCACCTACATCTTGAAGCTTGATGTAAATATGGAATGGGTTAGACCAGTATGGGGTAAATAAGGTATGAGTTAAGCAATGTGATCAAATCACACAAAGTAATGTGATGACTGAGTTACTGTAAGATTAGATGAGATGATATAATATGATATAAATTAAGATTATATAAATTAAGATAATACAAGATAAAATGAGATGGGATAAGAAGAGATGAGATGAGATATGATACAACAAAATATATGAATAACATATGGTAATATCAGATAAGATGGAACTTTATTAAACCTGAAGAAGATTCTTGTGCCAGATATTGCAAAGAAATTCCAACAACATGAGCATAAAAATATATAGTGTAAAAAATATAACAAAATATGAACAACAAGTAAAGTGTGTAAGATGTAATACTAACAACAGTACCTTATGTACAATAAAACACAACAATCAAGATTAGTATGGTAAAATAAGTCAACTTAAATAGAAAATAAATATTGTGTTTGTGTGTGTGCACAGTATATACATGTCACATAGAAAAGATTCACAAATGTAATTTGGGGATTATACATTTGCACACACAAATACTTATTACGTTTTATATAAATGTAAACCAAAATCCACATACAGAAAAATAAGTTTCACAAATACATTTCTGATCCAAACATAAATAGTTTGGGTTTTGAATTAATGTTATATATATCCACAAATTCCTGTATTTAATAATGTTTAATGTTTTCATCAAAAACATTAAAAAAAGTGCTTTTTGTGCATGAATCACTCAGCATTTGAATGACGCCACTACATTCACAAACGCTGTTGACAGAGAAGTGTCTGTAGCCAATCAGATGTATATCTCATCCCACTGGTATGGTTTAATCATGGATGTATAGAGAGAACTGGAAACAGCGTTGGAGGCGGAACTCGGTTCATTCCTATGAAAGTTGCTCAGTGGCGCATGAAGCAAAAATGGTCTGAATCTCAAGAGAAAAGGTGTCACTTGAGTATTCTTTAAGCTCGCATCTGATCTCCCGCTCTCGGCTTAGTCATTAGAATGGAGGCTAAATAACTCTAGATTTGGCTTTTAGCGCATTTTACCACTTTTAGACCCTAATGATTTAAATAAGGGTTTTAAGAGTGTACATACTGGGTATTTGATTTAGCTCAAATTAAAAATGATCCTCTGATTTTACAGACATCTCTTTCCCAAACTAATTCAATACAAAAAAAAAAGGTGAACGTGTGAAAAGTGCTATGGCATTAATGTGACTTCTATACTCACAGCACTGAGAGGGAACAGAAGCCATTCGTGTTCTCTGGACCTCGTCCTGCAGTGGATACTGTCACAATTGAAAAGCAAATCAATATCATTTAATACTAAAAAGGCACAAGTCAATACAGTATTTATGGATCAGCTGTGGTGTTGTTAGTATTATTGCCCAGTAGATGGAAGCAGAGAGCCAACACAAACTCACTAAGAATGGACCACATTGTGACAATGGTTGGTAATTATATTCTACAAAGAGACACTGGAGAGGTTTGAAATGGAGTATTCTTGTCATTTCTGTAATATCCACGAAAATAAAACAAGTTGTCTTTCTTTTATTACTGTATTTATTCTAAAATGTTTTTGTCTGATGTTGAAAATTATTTGAATGGAAAACTGGAGAAACGATACAACTTCAGGATGAAGATAATTTATATATAATTTAAAGGTGATGGAATGAATTCAGATGAGTTTTTTTATACAATTCATTTTCTTTTGGGGAAAATGTCACAGAGACAAGAAATATACTGACTCCAAACTACATTTAGCATATTTTTACTTTTAATAACAGCCTTATGGCACCACTAATACAGTTGATTAGAAGATTAGAAGTAAGAAGGCAATCAAAACCAAATATGTATTTGATAAATAATTTACTTTACATGTTACCCTTTATTTTTATTTGTTATTATTTATTTACCTTTCTTTCTGCTCCTACTCTCACACGGCTTGGCGCACAGTTGATGGATACATGCAGTAAAAGCATGAACAAGTAAAGCCACTTATTAAAGTTTTAATGATTCATATAATACTTTTTACACACAATCCCCTCCTATATCCTATACTGCTTGGATTTATATATAATAATTCTAAAGCTTCCTTCTTCTTCCGAACTACCCAGTGGTGGAATGTAACAAATTACATTTACTCATGTATTGTCGTTAAGTACTATTTTTACATCTTAACTTGAATATTTCCATGAAATGCTACACTTTTACTTCACTACATTTTAGAGCAGGGGTCTCCAACCTTTCTTCATCTGAGAACTACTTTGAAAAAATGAAAAGTACCCAAGAGCTCCTTGCATCACATCGCTTACATTTATTCACATAGCCCTCTTCAGTTGAATTAAGCTACTTTTGTACACGTGTGAAATCAATACCCAAAGCTTATCAAAAATCTTAACTTCACATCAAGGTCCAAGAAAACGAAAATGTCTCACATATTATTATTATTATGGCCCACATAGTATATCACTGAACATTCACATAAATGTCCTTAATCACTACCTGACAAGCATCGTATGGCACATGTGTAAAATAAGTGCATTCACTCTTTTTCACAGTGAATGGCGCTGCATGGAGTCCACCATAGAGGTGTATGCTGGAGTGTACCCACTTAGGTTCACTCTAATAGAGTCATTTAAATGTTGATCAGTCAGTCTTGTTCTGTATTTAGATTTCATTCATGTCAGAAAAATCTGCTTCACAAAAGTCTGTAGAACAGAACCAAATAAAGCAGACATGTTCAGTGCTGCTTGGTGAATGTTCTTATAGTTTTCTGGGTCTACAAGGCTCCAGAAATGTTCTGAGTTTTGCTGAGACTTAAGCTGAACATGATTTTGGAGATTTATAACCTCCATCTCCATCTCCACAGGATTGACACTGAACAGTTCAGCCATCTTTTTCTTCTTTTTCTTCGTCATGACATGAAATTATAAACCATAACAAATCATTGTATAGGTCTAGCCTCCCTATATCTGTGTGTGAAATTGTTCCATCCTCAAAAACTAAAAACTAATACTCCTGCAGTCTAGCTGCAGCTTCTAGCAACGGTCTTCTGTTAAAAAAAGGATACTGAATGTCCTGAATGTGGCATCACACACATGACTTAAGTCACAACAGGAGTGTTTACAACAGCATATACAAAAAATAGTGCATGTGGGTGCACACTTACATTCTCTGTCTTACTGTTACATAAATCCCATGAATGTATGAGATTAAGTTAGCTTTATCATATCTCAATCAGTGATTAAGTGAATAAAGTTTCTATCAGGTCACTATCAGCCTGTGACTCATTATTTTCAGGGGGGGCGGGGTTTGGAGGATCACAGGAGACGGTGATCGCGGAAGCTTTTTCCTCCTGCCTTCACAAACTTTACACACGTATTTATCAACTGAAAATATCAAGAGGACATTCATACTCTGCAATCCAAGACTTGATTAAATCCACCAAAAACCTGATATGACGATAACGAGTGTTTTTCAAAAAACCACAAATCCCTGTGTCGCTGTGCCGCTGTCACGTCTGTTCCTTGATCTCTGCGTCACCGACCAATTTGATATTCGTGTCACAGAAAACATTAAAAAACAAAAAAACTTTATCGTCCAGCCGCGGTCGAAAAATCAAGAAGCAACGTTACTACGCTATAATCGATAATCGAGCTGCGAGCTACTGAAAAGCTGCCCAGGAGCTACGATCGACGTGTTGGAGACCCCTGTTTTAGAGGCATGACATGTAATTTTTACTCTACTACATTTAATACACACTCATAGTTACAAGCTTTTGTGTACATATGAAAACACAAGTGATGAAATACGTTAATTTTAAATATACGCAGTATTTTAAAAAGCACCTTAAAATGGCTCACATTTACAAACTACAACATCAAAATGATTTGACAAGTATTTTCTATTGATAACATTTTTTTATTTTATTCTATAACACTATAACACAATTCTGCACACTGTGTATTTGATACACAAAGTACACTTTACTTTTGACTGGTAATACTTCCTTACTACTACTTAAGTAACAGTTTCAATTCACGATTTTAAATTGGAATAGAGTATTTCATGTCCAAAGTAAATCTGCTTTTTCCACCACTGCAAATACCTACATACTTTGGTGAAGAAAAAGGAAGCCAGTCCTAGCTTTTTTCAGTAGATCTCCTTTAAGACTCTGGATTGAACATCTCTAATTTATATGTAATCTAAAACATATGGACAGGAAAAATACTTTTTAATGCAAAGCAAAATGTTTTATCTGTAGACCTACCTCGTCATGTATCCGCATGGTATTGATCCGATCCAGTTTACTGGTCCAGTACTGAGCTTCGTCTTCTGGGATATCTAGACCGATTGGATGGAAGTGTTAAAAAAATGTCCAGAGAATATTAGGAGGAGAGTGCAAGAGGAATAACAGACACAAGGGATAGAAGGATAGGTGAAGGGAGGTAGGTGGGATAAAAAGACAAAGGTAAATAATGGAGGAAGAAGGAAAGTGCGAAACATAGAATGTCAGGCAGAGAGAGGAGCACAGGCACTGTGACTCCACCCTTCCCTCAGTCCCACCATGCACTGCTTAATGTTGTCCCATGTTATATTCATGTGTGTTTAATAGTTTATGAGGAGGTTTCCTTTTGGAGGACCAGAAATAGAATGAACATCCACCTCAGGGGCCTCACGGGTCCTCCCCAAAGCCACAGAAAGGCAAGAAGTTGGGGCTAAAGAGGAGATAAAGTGAAGAATAGGGGAAGATCTGGCTATGGTCTCAGCCATGTTACATAACATTACATGTTACTAGTTAGACGCTTTTATCCAAAGCGACTTACATACTCAATACTGTGGGCAATACCCACAGCAATTTGGGGTGAAGTGTCTTGCCCAGGGACACAACGACATGCTGACTGCAGTGGGGTTTGAACCTGTGACCCCCTGGTCCGAACACCCCTAACGCACTAACCACTGCGCCACAGCCCCCACCCCCATGTTCCCATGCAAAACACAGCTAGTCAGTGTCAAATGTTTAAATTAAGCAATCATCTCTCAGCTTGAGTTAATCTCCGTCAGAAAGTAGTTCCTAGAAAGTAGTTCCCATGGTAACGATAGCCGATCAATCGAACACTCCTGCTACCCCGCTTACAGTTATTGATATAATTATAGTAAATAATATATTATTAACCAATTTATTGAAAACAATTTATTGAAAACAATTCTTGAATTAGGCTATTTAAATATCACTGTGAGTAATCACTGTGTGGGATTAGCGGAACAAATCAAATCAGGCTGTCCATGGTGCTGAAACATTTTGGGTTCAGAATGAAGGTGGATGTTCATGCTGCCATTAAAAGTGCAATTCTTGAAACAGCTCTCCATGAACTCCATGCCAGACTTTTTTGCAGGTGGTGCTGTGGTGTTCACGGGTAGGACTACGTTGTAGGAAGAGCTTTCCTCCAGTGGCCGTTTCATGGCGTGTCCCGGACCGGCAAAAAGCGCGTTGCTCCACACTTTTTTCCAACGCACTCAACTCGTCAGTTGAAACAGCCGCAAATCTTTCGTTGATTTTGTGGTCTGTGTCCATGTCCAACCATTCATCAATACTGAGGCACCCCAACAAATCAAAATTAACTTTAAATCTGACATTTTGTAGCTACCAATTTCCAACGACAGACAATGTATAACAGTGTAACGGCTGTGTGTCGCTAAACGTCGCTATGGAAACCACACGATGTAGGCTCATGGAAGTAGTTTCGGTAGGCTAGTGGCGTGTGTAGGCCACTGGATACTTTGTGATTAGGCACGTTCTATTTGATCGTTGTTTGATCGTGGATTCAAACACGCCTATTGACCAATCAGCGAGCTTGCTCAAACCTATGTGTTATAGAATTAAGCAATCATACACGAGAGGCCGTTCTTGAACGTCATTATTGGTACGACAGTCCTGCCAAGCGCCGAGGTCCGTACGCCTGTTCTATTACACAAACTATCATTGTAATCAACAATATCGTAAAAATAATTTCATAATGTGGTCTAATTTGCTCCCAAACCTACGCTTTCTGCTTGAGTTAATCTCCGTCAGAAAGTAGTTCCTATAAAGTAGTTCCTATGGTAACGATAGCCGATCAAACACTCCTGCTACCCCGCTTACAGTTATTGATATAATATAATTATAGTAAATAATATATTATCGCACTTTCTCCGGTCCCCGAGATTTGGCTTCCAGTAGCTCTGGAGAGAGCTTTCGTACCTGTGGCCACTAACGGTCATAATTTCTCTGCTTTGTTTCAAGACCCGCATCAGAAAGCTTTTGAATGGTGGTACTTCTCCAGTTGGTCTACCTGCTCTTCACGTAGCTCTGCATGTCGTCGTTTATGTGCTTTTTTTTTCTGGAGATAGGCACTCCTCAATCCACTCCTCCATAGTAAGACCCCCCCGGAGGTCGAAGTTAATCTTAAATGTTTCCATTTTATGCTTTGTAAGTTTGTTTCGTAACGGAAGAAATGTAAATATATTTATAAAACTGACAAGTCAAATCAAGCAATCTGATTGGTCGATAGTGTTTTTGCGGACCTCTTTGATTACAGATTTGAAAACAACGTTGCTTGCTTTAAAAGTAGCACAATTCATTATGTCAAACCTTGGAAAGTATCTAGATATCCCTGCCCTAATGCCAAAGGAACTGCACACTGAATATGTTTTGCCGTTTGATGTCTATGTCTGGACCGCTGCGTAAAAAGGAGGGTTTCTGCCCCGTTACTTCTCCGCTGCTTTCTTGTTCCAGTTCAGTGCTTGAATTGGAATGAAAAAGGTGCCAGTACTCTAAAATCAGCAACTTTTTCAAGTCAATTTTATATATACAGCCCACAAACAAGAATTTGGCTACTATAATGCTGGTGGGTTTGTCTCTTTACTACTGTATATTTTAGAAAGGTTCACTGTACTTAACATTTTTTATGATAGGCAGCGGATATGGCTAAAGCTCAGTAAGGTCAATATTAACTGAAAAATATAGCAATCAAAGTCTAGATCTTCTGCTGAAGACACATGAAGCAGAGACCTTTCAGGTGAGAGCCCCTCTGGTGGTGTTCAACATTAATGACAAGGAAACAAAGCTCTGGTCAGAAGCATTTTTTATAAAAAGCTTTAACAAAATTAAGTATTTCTGTACATTTTGAATGCAATCTAACTTTCCAACTCAGAAAACGAAAAACGAAAAAGTGCCAAAAGTCTTCTCACATGGCTGAGCTGCTTTGCAATATACTTCACCACTGAAGAATACAAATATGTATAAAGTAAACTATGATGCAATCTAACTTTCCAACTCAGAAAAATTATAAAGAGCATGAACAAAGAACATGTAAAAACAAATGCAAAATTTGCACAATCTAAAATGAGAAACTGTAACTGCAAGTAACAAAGTCTGAGCCATGGTAAAGAGTTACATTGAACACCAAGCTGATCAGATAACTCCCTGGTTGGTCTGAAGTCCTTCTATCTCCAGGATCTGTACAAATCGGCACATTATGCCAAAAGTCTTCTCACTGGGTGAGCTGCTTTGCAATATACTTCACATTGTTAGAAAAGGCTCCAGAAGGCCTTGGGGACATCAGTATCAGGGGCTGGAGCTGGACAGGCTCTTTCATCAGCACTTCTCCTTCCCTTTGCCAGCCAGGACCTCACATACTGTTCCGGATTGAACTGTCCTAGTGATGGTCCATTACATTTAATGAAAACCAGGCTGGACAGTCGGCTGACAGAGAGAGCATTCCTTTTTGCAGTAAGGATATCGTTCATGCAGCTGAATGCCCGCTCACACTCACTAGTGGAGACAGCGATGGTTCGGACTGCTTTCAGTAGAGGCTCCATGGCAGCAGGTGTACGGGATGCCCTGGTTTCCTTGTATTCGCGAAAGCCCTGAACAGTCTCTCTTCTGTCCACTTTCAGCACTTCGCACAAACGTAGCACCTCTACGTCCCCATACTGTACGTCTAACTCCTCTTCAGGCCAACTTCCAGGATGGATAACTTTCATGTTCTGGATTAGCTGATTGTCCCGGGCATGTAATGGGATTTCTCTTGTGCTGACATGAGAGGAGGTTGTGGAAGTCATTCTGTGTCTCAGATTCTCTACCATACTGCGGAAAAACTGACCTGCATGAATCTGTACAAGCCTGCCATTCTCACGCAGGGCAACACCCTTGAAGGACTTCTCAGCTAGAGCTGTATGAACTGTAGTCATGTGTGGGCCAGGCATGGTGACCATGGATTCAAAAACTCGTATTTCTCGAGTTAAGAGCCTATCTGCTATAGGCAGTGTCATCTCTCTTTTTTGGAGTTGCCGAGAGAGGTCGCTGAGCTCTGTGAGCGCATCGTACATCAGTCCCAGATTGCTGACAAACGTTGCAGATGTGAGCACATCATCCAGGCCCTTGTACTTTGCTCTGTCTCTGGAATCCCTGCTCGTGTCGTTTGCAGCATTTGTGAAGTGATCATGAAGCACTCGGTAGTTTTCCCAGACTGCTCTGACGCTCCTTTCACTTGAAGCCACCCAGCGGATGGACAAAACACGCCCTATCACCAGGAGACGCTGTCCGACTGCTTGCGCACACTGCGCTAACTGCCTGACAAGGAATAGAGTTTGTCAAAAAAGATCTGGAAATGATTGAGCCCTGAGACCTCCTTGACCACATCCCCAACTGCCAGCTCTAGACGATGATTGGAGCAGTGCCACACAAACAGGCTTGGGAATTTACTACACAACTGGGTAGCAACGCCTGTTCTCTTCCCTAGCATGACTGAAGCCCCATCACATGCAAAAGAAACGAAACACTGACCTAAAAAGTCCTCGTTAAAATCTCTTCCAAGACACTCCATTAACGCCTTTGTGATGTCATCAGCCGTTGTTCCATCCAACTCGATCAGCTCCCAAAAAAACGTTAAGGGCTCAGCATCAGCTAATGCTGAGCGTAGACACACAACAAGCACCGTTTTACCACTAATAGTGGTAGATTCATCGACCAAAACACAGAGTTTTCTTTGGTTTTCTGTAATGTCTTTTGCCATTTTTTTCTTCAGCTCATGAGCTATGTGGTCGATGATTTCGCCACAGGTTTTATTGGAGTGCAAAACCCTGCCCACGTTCAGCCCATTCAGTTTCTGTACATTCAAATCAATTGGCATGTCTGTGAATGGCCGGCTATGTTTGCCAATTTTATATGCCGTTCGAAAAACTCTGATAGTGCTGTCTAATTCAGATTTATGCATAGACTGCACTTGATGTTGAATAGTTTCACGTGAAGCAGATGTAAGGATGTCAGCAGCTTTTACATGGGCTTGTGATTCTTTATGTTC